AACACGATCCCTGCAGCATTTACAGCCCTCCCAAGCTCTAATCTCATTTTCGCTACCCCATTGACGCCGTATAGATTCCGGTGGCAACGTTGATTCCGCCGGCGATGCCGTTAATAGTGTTGACGCCGTTGAGGCCATCGAGCGTGTTTGTGTTCGATATTCGTGTGCTGAACTACCCTGATTTTTCCGTATCAGTGCGACGGCAACTCTTCACGCGGAGACCGAAAAACCCCGATTGACCCTTGTCGAGCCCCTGCGTAAGGTTGAGGGTGTGCGAAGCTACACCATGCCCTCGAGCCTCAGGGTGCTAGCAGGGGTGTAAGGATTGGCTCAAGTGCAGGGCTGCAAAGTTTGAAGCAGGCGACCCACGGCAGCAAGAAGTCATGATGCTTGGCTTGAAGGGCGGGTTCGGATTGAGGAGGCAAGGCATCTCGGGAGCAATGGCCGGGTAACGACCAGGGGCCCGTGCTGGGATCGAGGACAACTCGTGTCAGTTAAGCAGCCTTTCGGTTTTGTCTGATGCGTTTTGCAGTTTTGGGAGCAGCCACCAGTCTGCCTCCCAACATCACCACCCTGTGTAGGCATCTTTCATCCGTGGGCAGACCTAACACTAATCCACATGTCGACGCCCGCTCTGCTACAAGCACATTCAAGTACAAGGCCTACAATGGCACTCAAAGCAGCGCAAATGCTGATAAAGGGGTTTACAGCGGGGTTGTGCCTCACAGACATGCGCCACATTGCAAGACACCATGGATCTAAAAGCATTGGATCCAGCTTGGACTGGGCACGTCTCTGTGTGTGTGTGCGTTGTGGATAAAGTTCTTGCAGGGCTTGCTTGTTAAAGGCCTTTGTTTGTTTTGGGTCCAAAGACTGAAGGACCTCGTGCCCGCAAAGCCCTCCGCCGTCCTCGTCGAACACTTTTTTGTGGAAATCGGCATAGTTGGCCTGAAGCACGGCGATTCACGATGGCACGTCCCAAGCTTCAAAGTTGAAGGTGAAGTCCAAACTCCCTCAAACAGCTCTACCAACGAGAAAGCCACGCCTTCGATTCCTGGACACGGGACTCGAACAACTGCAAAAAAAATGGCTCCCCGATCCGTTCAACAGTTCAACAACCCCAGGTGCCTGGGCATCATGCACTGCGCCCTGCCTTAGCGAAAGGGGCTGCGGATGCGCGTCAGAGATTTGAAGTTTGGGTCTTGTGCTTTCGACCTGTCGTATGGTCACTGCGTAGATTGGTTTTGTCTAGGAATGAACCACGGTACGGGGCAAGTCTGTGCCTTCCGCTGCAGCTACCTCAAGACTGGCTTGCAGTGGAACAGATGCTGCTTCGCTTTAGCTACCTGCCGACACCCTTCTTCTCCTCTTCAGGTCCCACAGAACAATCCAAGAGCCTTCCACAATCCGTTGCACAGATGAAACTTTGTCCTCGTGTCTCGCCCGTGCCGACAGGGCGCACAATGTAGTGGTTCACCTCAGCTTTGCAGGATGGTCGGTGGTGCAAACTTGGTGCGTGAGAACTAGCCGAGCATCAGAATACCCGCTGACGCGCGCTTGAAGCTGCAGCTTCAGCACGGGTGGCAAGTAGAGCTATTCGGGGTCAGGCTTAGGACCGTGGATCGCCAAAAAAGGTCTCAGGTTTCAAGAAACTCGACAGTCCAACCCACGACCCAGCATCCCTCAACTCGACAAGCCTCGCAGAATCTGCAAGGCCCACTTTGGGCCCAATTGGGCCCAACTTGGCCCAAAACCTAGAAACCCAACCTGGACCAGGGCAAGCCCAGGTGCGTAGTACAGGATCAGGCCCTGAAGCCACCTTGTCACGGGCTATATCGGGGCCTCGTGGGGAGGGATGGTGTTTTCTATGGCTAAAAGAGCCCCCTTAAACATCCACATGCGCTCCGAGTTCCTTCAACTCTTCAGCCCTGCCCTCTGTGTAACTTTGGGGCAACACGTCAGGACGGGCTGACACGTCACCAACGAAGGACCAGCCATTCCTAGACAAACAAAGATTCGGTCCTTTTGAATCCCAGACTGCTGGACTAATGCATAAAAAATCAGGATTCCAATGCCCCCCCCCCTTCACCAGCCCTAACAAGGTTGGGCCATCTGGAGCCCTTGTGTCTTAAATCCAAACCATCCTTGGATGCCTTTGACCCATGATCTAGACGGAGCCCCTTCTCAAAAATCCAGATGTGGCGAGGTGCAGATTCATGCCGAGGGCAGTAATCCCGAAGAGTGTCCCTGCGACTTGCGCCTGACACTGTCAGAACTCGATCTTACTGGGTTTGGGGGTGTTTGGGGCTTTGGGTGTTGGGGCTTCGCGTGCTTCGGCGAAAGAAAGCTCGAATGGAATCATGTCACGATTTGCAGGGCGCTGTCGAGGGTTTAGCTTAAGGAAACTTCACGATTTTAGTGGCTTCTGCTGACAATTTGCGGCCTGGGAGGCGCTCGGTTGAGGGTTCGAAGAAAGTGGCTTGCGGTCTCTGGGACTCCTGAAATACGTCCTCCCTGCAACCGTGACTTTAGAGCTCCGATCCCTACACGCCTGAACCCATATGATAATATATGTACCTATTTAGATAGACCTTTGCTTTGAGATGTACCGATGTTTAGAACCGTTGACATAACCCTTGCAACGCTGCTCTCGGACATCATCATTGATACCCCGGTCCCCCTGCCCTAAACCTGTTTTACCTGGAGGACCCAAGTTGTGTGTTGCCGCCATCTGGTTGCATTTTTCTTTTCCCTCCACCTGCAGGTTCTGTCCCCGGTTCAGGGTGTTAGGGGCCCTTTCCGGTGCCTTCGTTGCCCGGCAGGCGACCACCTCGGGCAGGTCGACCACACTGACCTTGCGGTGCCAGGATTCAGGGCATAAAGATGTGGCTTGGTGATGCGTGGAGCTGTCTTGGGCTTTCGTTGGATGCTACGGGCTTGGAGCTTCTCAAGGTCGATCAAGAGGGACTGAGGTCTACAGCAGGTTCTTGGGGGTGGAGCAGGGCTTTCAGCAGTTCGTCTCGGGGCGTGGAGAATGAGGCAAGGGGCTAGCCAACAAATGAAAGCCCTACTTGGAACTCTCCCTGAACCCTCCCCTAAACTTCAGGCATGAATATGATGAGTCCACCACCCAACACGCTCGGGCATTCTTCAAATGCACAGTACATGTACACTGGAAAAATCCTGGAGAGATCTGTTCCCATTGCGGTCGGGGAGCCGCGATGGCCACACCGTAGATGTCGGCCGGCAGGTCGCGGTAGACCTTCTTCGCCTTTCGGAGGTTTGGATCGCAACATCAGCCCACATGATCACGGAAGGTCCCACGAAAAAATCACGAGAGCCGGTCCTTCACAACAAGACAAACATCGAAGAACCATCTTAAGCAAGCTGCTGCATGAAGAGGCCTCCTATGAGCCTCCCCCGATGAAGGATGGCTCTGCTGGCGTGGGCCCCCAGAACTTTGGCAGCAAAACCCCTCCACCCGCAAAAACTCCTCCAAGGACCCGCTCCACAGCAAGAAAGTTAATGGTGCAAATCAACTCGCGCCTCGTGCAACCTCTGGAGGGCCGCAGAATTCTCAGAAGCCGCCATGTCTGGAATCACGGTCGAGGCGCTCATGGAAAGCGCACGCTTACCCGCAAGAGCGACGGTATGGGGATGCTATGACTGGGGTCTCAAAAACCATCTGGCTGATTCCGCCCTGAAGGCCGGCTGTGTGAGCAGTCCACTTCAGCAGGGCAAGTTGCGTCACTCAAACTGCTGGCCCCAACACCCTACGCCGAAATCAACCCCGTGGCTGTGGTTAATCTTGGTGAACCCAATGTGCGGATCCCCACTCTTGAGCCATACCCTATACGACCAATACTCTTCAGTTCCACACGAACCTGTGGAAAATCTCGGAGCTCTGGACCCAGTGTGGAAATGCGCCTAATATGGAAGTCATACATCCTCATCCTTGTTAGGTGTTCGGGGTCAGCGAGTTCAAGGGATCTGCGGACACAACGCTAAGCGGCCTCAGGCTTGGGCTCCCCTGGCCCCTTTCAAAAAGCTCGGGGCTCTTTATAGGTACAGCAGCACAGCACAATAGTGAGCAAAGAAAGAGGGAAAAGGACACCTTCATGACGCCCGTATCATCAGTGAATAAGACATGAAGACAGCACCCATCACACCTTGAGACCCAACCTCTGTTCACCCGTCCTCTCATCCTGGTACTAATTCACCCTTAGGACAACTCTAGGATCTCTACCTCATGTCTTACCGTATCATCTGGTCTAGAAACCGTACCATCCTTAAAGGACCAGTTCAGGCTCTAGGAATCATAACCAGTGAACCAGACCTTGGAACCCATCCTATCATCCTGTGCGTGAATTCGTTCTCTCATTCACTCCCCCACAATACCCCATTAAAGTAGTAAATTACAAGCTAGCGCGTGAATTTACTATTTTAATTGGGGATTTTGGGCAAAAGACCAAATAAAATAGCATTAAAAGGGTATTTGTTCACATTGGAGTCCTTCGCCAACAGTTACCCAAAAGCATAGTGTAACAGTGACTTCACCCCTCTTCGAACCACCACGCAACATTAAATTTCCCTCGAACACGAAGCTCTTCACCTTTGTTCGCAGTTAAGCTGCCATGGCCACTGCAACAGAACACTGCAACTCTGAAAATTCCAATCCCAAGGCCGACCCCCGACTTGCCTACAGGCCCGAGCCCCGCACTCTCAGCCCATCCGCCCCGAAACATCGCGCGGAAGTATTCGGAGCGTAGCTGCCTGAATGGCAGGGGGGCATTTTGGAACCGTTGAACATGTGGCGGCCAAACGCGAAAAAGGTGACTCGGGTCGATGCTCACAATCTGCTGTGCTTTGGGCGGTAGAAGCTCCATCACATCTCTAAGCACCTCCATACAACCCTCAACTCAACCTCCAAGTGCGATGCAATGCCGATAACAAAGACCCAAAACACAGCTCTGCAAATCTCCATCCCACAAGCACCCGACAGCAACGTGGCCAAACCGCCGTCCAAGGGGAGGCCCATGTCCTGGTGTTAAGTTTCGGCTTCAAAGGGCCCTTGGGCTGCTTTTTGATATCCCCCCTCTGGCTTTCGGTGGTTTGCTTGTATCTTGCACATACGGTCACAACGGTGTCATGAGCCTGTCAATGTAAGGCCTGCATAGGTCTGCATGCTCTACTCTTTTCGCGCCTCATCGTCGTCTTTGAACCTCAAGGCGCAGAATCTGATTTAAAGTTCCCAACCCCTACACATCCCTGAACTGAGAAAACGGCGCTGAAACCCTGGATCCCAACTTCCCAAATCTGCCATGATTCTACCACGAGCGCACCTCTGCGCAGAATGGGAAATGGGAGCTCTGGAGGTTGAGTCCTACGATGCCCTTGAACCCGCAGAAGCCAACGAAACCACGTGCGCGCCACCTCGCAACTCCAGGGTTTTTCTGAGCGCCTGTACGTGGGGCAGTAGAAAACCACGCTGCGCAAGCGCCCGCCGCGCAATGCCACAAGGAGGTCCTCAGGGCTTCAGGGCTTCAGGCATAGTAAGGCATAGTGTAGCACAGCATAGTATACGGTATGGTATAGTATCGTATCATATACTATACTATGTACTATACTATACTCTACTCTACCCTTCTCAACTCTCCGAAGCAGCACGAAGGTGCAGCTGAGAGAAGGGCCTCGGCCAATGAGCTGCGGCGGCGCCGGCTGCGTTTGGCCAGCACCAGATCCTGTTTTGCGAAAGGGGCTCCTGGCCTGTGCTGGCCCCTTTTGCTGGGTTGTGACGGGTTCATGGAAGGTCCAGGGCGTAGATCCACGGAAGCGTCTGAACCTCCAAGTTTTAATGGCCCAAGCTCTATCTTCCCAAGGGTGCCAGGTTCAGCATGGCTATCCGACTATCCGAAGCCCCTCAGAATTTATGCCCCTCCATTGTTTGCTTTTTGTTTTGCGGAGCTGGGCCCGCTATGTCCACGTTTCAATGTCTTCTGGCACACTTGGAGTGCGGGAATTGCAAGGCCCAATGCAAAATCCATGCTCTATGCCGATGGGTGGACACTCAGGGGGATTCCTCACATCCCACCACATCCCATGACATCCCACCACATCCAACAATCGTCAACTGAACTCCCGAGAATCCACCCAATTCATGCTGAAACTTTAACAAAACCTTTGTAGCGCAGAGCCATGTGCAGAGCCGCGCGACCTGCAGCTCCCCAACATCCCGGAGTCCCCATCCTGCGCCAGGAGGCGAACCGAAGGATTGTAGCGGGCTTGGGGGCGGCTTGTGGCTTGGAGCGTTATGGTGACTCTCGGCTTTGGGGGGCCTGCAGATGTCTTTCTGGCTTGACCGGTGAGGCTCAGCTGGCATATTTGGCAACCTGAACCTTTGGGAGCTTCAACGCGCGACAGGAGCAACACGCTCGTGCGCTCGTGCCCAGCTTGGTCAGAGATCTCCCATGCCTGCGTACATCCTCGTTGCGGCTCACACCATGCCAGACCCTGTAAACTGAGATGATTTTCACTTATGATGACGATTAGTGTGGTTACGATTGTTATGCCTCCTTATACATTTAGAACACGGGAGCAACTCAAACTGTTGAGCGTTAACTCCAAGAAGTCTCACCCTCCCTTCCTCTTCCCTTCCTCTTCCCTTCCTCTTCCCTTCCTCTTCCCTTCCTCTTCCCTTCCTCTTCCCTTCCTCTTCCCTTCCTCTTCCCTTCCTCTTCCCTTCCTCTTCCCTTCCTCTTCCCTTCCTCTTCCCTTCCTCTTCCCCAGCATCTCCCGCTCTTTCTATCTCGCCTCGGTCCCTCTTCGTTCCCGGCTAAACATCAGACTCATCAGCCTTCGGCCAGCCGAAGCATGCGGGCAAACAGCGCGCAGTCGCCACTGCCTGCTGAAACAGGCTGGTCCTGAAGCACAAGGGATTTTCCAGGCGCAGGGCGAAGGGTTTACAATACTTGGAGCTTGATCGAGATGAACATGAACTTGCTGCTTTTGCAGCTGCTTGAGCCACTTTTGCTCCCAGGGCTTGTTTGGTTCCTTGCTGATCAGCCGCGCTCTGCAACAGACAATCAAAGAATGATCTGGGACTGTTTTTGTCTGCTGCAGATACCAAACCCTGCGATCGAGATGGATGGTACCTTTACTTCAGCCTACTGCTCCTTCTCGCACATTTTAACTGCAGCCACGCCCCTAAACCGACTGAGAGAACATGCACTGCCCAATGCTCAACGAGGCGATGCTCCTGCACCCGGCCAGAGTAGACCCACTGCAGCAGAGGCAATACCACCATCAGCCTCGGCCAACCCCCAATGGAGTGCGAGGAATGCAAGGAATGCACGGAAAGCCTAGCCGAGGTTTGACGGCGAGCCCAGTACTGCGACATCCTACCAGTTGCTTTCTGCACAGGTGCCCCCTCATCCCGAAATTGCCCCCGAGGTCCCGCGCTCCTCGCCGGCATAGAAAGCCTCAACCAGGGCTCAGAGTCTCAGCAGAACGCTCAGGAAAGACCCTCTGACTTTGCAACACTTGAACAGGTTTGAACGGGTCTGGACGGTTTGGGGTGTCGGATTCGTCTCTGTTGCAGCGTAGAGTTTGAACTGGTGGTACCATCTCGTCGGGAGCATGCCAAACTATCCACAGATGTAGTCCTCAAGCACGCACGCACACACGCACGCGTGCGCGCGCGCCCACCCGCCCACCCACCCACCCACCCACCCACCCCCCACCCACCCACCCACCCACCCACCACCCACACCACCCACCCAACAACCCACACACCCACACACCCCACACACCCACTACACACACCCCCACACACACACACACACACACCACACACACACACCCACACACACACACACAACACACACACAAACACACACCCACACACACACACACACACACACACACACCACACACACAAACACACACACACCACACACCACACACCACACACACACACACCACACACACACACACACACACACACACACACCACACACACACACACACACTCCACGGCACACACACCACACGACACACACACACACACACACACACACACACACACACACACACACACACACACCACACACCACACACACACACACACACACACACACCCCGACACCGACACCGACGCCGACACCGACACCGACACCGATCAGGCTGTGCATGTTCTGACTTCAGACTGAGCCTGCAAGAGGTGGCACAAGGACTTGCCGGAATTTCAAGGGCTTATTTATTTTTGCAAGCTTATGCGGCTTATTCTAAACTGGTTTAGGGCCGACATCTTCAACATTGAGCCCTTTCGCAGATCCTGAGCCAACCTGTACAGCCCAGATGCACATTGCTTGCGCAAAGTGAAAAGAAACTGACAGGCACCATGCATCCCAATGTTGAGGATTGGGGTTAACCGGGAAGTGGTCCTAGACCTGTTTCGCACAGGTGCCTTCGCGTCGTCTCCGTGGAGCTTGGGGCACCGTGCTCGCAGCAAGCCGCCAAGCACAGGCCTCGTGTGAAGGATGCGTGTGCTCGATGCGTGTGCTCCTGGCTCTGCTGGCTTTGGGATCTCCTTGCTAATCCTCAACCCCGTTTGCACTCCGACATGGCACGACGAGTCATATCGACAAGCGAGGACGAGTAACCATGCTGGACCCATTTGCTCGCAAAGCCGCAACGTGCAAACTGCAACCCCAACCCTACACACAGCTTGTATTTTTGCAGTTGCATTTTTGTGGAAACATGTAACTCTTGCAGGCGCTGGCGGGACAAGGCCTCCGACACCAAGCCGTAAATCCAATCTCACGCTTTTAGCATCTCTTAATACGTTCCTCATTCGAGCCCAGCGCCAGGGGACAGAGAAGGGACAGGGAACGCAGAACTGCAGGTTGATAAGCTCCACAGGAGGGTGTGATGGCGCAGTCTTCCTTCGCAACCCTAGTTGGTTCCCCCTGTGCTACCGGTATTGATCTACACTCGGATGGTCGGCCGTGAGAGCTGCTATAGTCATTAGCCGCCCAAGATCCCTGCAGCTCAACCCCAAACTGCTATTTGCTTAAGAACCCCAACAGAATAGAAACTAATAATCCCTGTATTGCCCTTGACAAAGAATACTTCTATATTTTCGGGTTCTTAAGCAACTAGTAGTAAGCCCAACCCAAATCCCAACCCCTCAACCCTCTCTCGCCGGGACTGCCGCAGGGCATGGCCGTCACTGGTGTGTAGCGTGGCCATTTCAGCGTGGTCCTCACATGGATCTGCAGGGCCTGCGGCATTGACGACAGAGGCAACATAAAGCAAACCATCCTGAACCCAAATGTTGCGATGACAGCCTAAAGTGAGCACAGGTTTGGTTTCGGTGTCAAGCTGGCTCTGTCTGTCTCTCTCTCTCTCTCTGTCGGTCCGTCCGTTTGTCTGTCTGGCTCTAGCGCGCGAATTGGCCACTGCAATCAAGCAGATTCGGGCGCGCATGTGAGTGCAGGAGGACGAGCACACCGACCACACACAACGGACATGAGAACTTCAGAGCACTCTTCACACTGACAGGCAGAGAGAGAGAGAGAGAGAAAAAAAAAAAGAAAGAAAGAAAGAAAGACAGAGACTTCTCCCTCTTCTTTTCATAAACCCTTGCGAAGACTGTGCCAATGGGCGTGAACCACTGAGAAAAGCCAGAACGAATGCCTGAACGAACCGCAATCCCATCTGAGAACCACCAGAGAGGCCTCCTGGACAAATTGCTGCGAGAGCCGTCCTGTACCGGGACGGGATGCGCCCGAGAAGCCCTCGACTAGGTTTGAGCTGCTTAGGGAATGTGGGAAGCTTGAAATGATTTTAGAAGAATTGGAACGTATGGCAACTAGGTCTGACTAGGTTAGGGGAGGATTTGGGGCTGTTCCTCAAGCACAGACACAAACCTTCGTGCACTCAACCTCGATTCGAGCCCTTCGTACAGGGTTCCTGTGCCGCTTCGCTTATGCAGATCTCTTGGAGATTGATGTCTCTCAAGATTCACGAAACCTTCAGAGAGCATATCATGTCCAATAAGCAGGAGGCTCCAATCTAGGACCGCTGTCAGTTCATAGCGCGTGATGCCACGTAGACGTAGTGAATGTAGTGGTACAAGGAACCCACAACAGGATATGCAGTCAAGCCACGCGAGCGCCATGTTGGCCGCTGGGGCACGTGCTGGGGCACGTCTTGAGGAGCTGCGACACTTCTAGCACACGTGTTGCTGGATCTGCCAGCGGTCAGTTGACAAGTTTATGGAAACTTCTCAAGCGATCTCACAGAAAAGTCTGCAAAGCAGGCCAACTCTTAGGCTGACCACCACAAAACATAGGTAACGGATTAGGTCGCAGCTCCAGGGCCTTAGCTCCAAGCAAAGCTGGTAAGAGCCCGCGCCCGCAGAGGCTACTGTCATCTCCATGTGGCATATGGCTGACCCTTTTGGTTGCAACACGAGGTCTGTCCAAGTTGCTCAGAGTCACCACCATGAAGCCTTCTCTCAAGCCGACAAAGCAAACCACAAACCAAAATCCTGGAATGAGCTCAAGCTCAAGCTACAGCAAGGGGCAGTAAGGGGAAGTCGAGGGTTTTAGGGCATCGAAGCTTCTTGGCTTGGTGTGGGGGCTTTAGAGGGTTTAACGGTTCAGATCCTGAGCTCGAACGACTTCAGGGCCAGGGTTCAGGTTTGAAACTTCCGCATGTTTACGATCCGGGAATAGGGACTTCAATTTCAGGGCTGCGGCATCTTTTTGCAAGTGCCGCGTGCATGGGGCCCTTGAAAAAGCTTAACCCACCTCGCAAGAAATGACAGTCGTCTGTCTGTCCGTCTGTCCGTCTCTGCGTCTTTTTTGTCACTTCCCCATCTCCCCTACCCATCTCCCTTCCCCATCTCCCTTCCCCATCTCCCCTCCCCTCTCCCCTCCCCATCCCCCGTCTCCCCGATCTCCGCTGGAGGGCGCAGACGCTGGTTAGCATCGGATCCTTGGTGGTGTCTGATCTGCGAGACCGTGTGATGCAGTGGGAATGATGGAAACTATGGGCTCTCTTCACTCTCTCGCTCTCTCTCTCTCTCTCTCTCTCTCTCTCTCTCTCGCTCTCTCTCGCTCTCACCCTCCTGTCCGTGTCGTTTATGCTGCAGAGGCTCTGGACCGTTGTCGTCGGTGAAACGGAAAATTGCGAGTACGTTAAGGAGGCAGATATGGAAGGCAGCCAAGTTCTGACACAGCCATGAGCTCCATGGTAAACAATGAGTCTTCAAAGGCCACAACCTTAGCTGCCTGCGAGCCGGCGTGACATGAGATGAGAAGCGACTTCTGCAAAACATGGAGCTGAGAGTACTGCCTCCTCAACTAGTTGAGGCTCCGCTCCGAAAGCTCCGAAACTCAACTTCTCACTTTGAAACAGACCATCTCCTTGCGCAAGTCAAGCCCGTTTTTTTGAACTCCTCCGTCCTACTGCCTATCTTGCTGAACCTCTCTCCATTGACCCTATTTGAAGCATCTTTGAAAGAAGGCCGCAGCGGAGCACGCTCAGAGCAAGCAGAAAATTCCCTCTCTTAACACCCGAGGATCGAGAGCTGGCCTGCACCTGGGGGGTTTAGGGTTTAGGGTTTGGGGTTTGGGGTTTGGGGTTTGGGGTCTGGGGTTTGGGGTTTAGGGTTTTAGGGTTTAGGGTTTGGGGTTTAGGGTTTAGGGTTTGGGGTTTAGGGTTTAGGGTTTAAGGTTTAGGGTTTGACTAAAGCATCGGCTAGCCAGGGCTCCTCTTCCCACACCTGACCTTTGGAAATGGACCCCCCTACTCCAGGCCTCACCGACAACCCCCCCCCCCCCCCCCATCAAAAAAAAAAAACGCAAGATCGAGCGATCGAACCCAACAGCCCTGATCTGTCGACTGCTTCTGGGCGTGGCGAGGTCTTCCGATCATGCAAACCCTATGCACTCATGTCCTTTAGTACACGTAAAAACTTGAAGCAAAAAAGGCACATGAGTTTATGGACTATCCGAAGAACTGTGGGTGCATTCGGAGTTGAAGCAGTGGAATGACCCCTACAAAACCCGCGCAAAAAAAATGAAACCGTTAACCGTTCATCGTTCAAGCCCCCATGCAAGCCCCATGCTGGCCACTACCAATCCCTGTGCGGCCTCTGCGCCGCCAGTCTCCCTTTGTCGCACCACCGAACCCTCCAAAGCCCCGGATGGGATACAAGGCTCCCCGGCTCAGAAGGGCGAAGGCGGTCAACGTGAAAGGCTCACCTGCTTTTGTGAGAAGGAGCAGAGTTAAGTCGAAG